GACCAACCTGGTATGAGAGACTCTGTGAGTGTCGCGAGACAATCTCCAGTATAGCTCAATGGATCGCTGAGGTGCGCAAACCGTCACACCACGGTAAGATCCAGTCTCTTCGTCTCTTCAAGTAAATCATAGTTGTACGACGGTGAAGCATCGGTGTTCAGCACTGATGTCATGCTGTCGATGATTATAGTGGTAGAAAAGGATATATGGGCGCACTGATAAACAAAAGGGAATCAGGATAACTCCCCACTGGTGACTGAGAGGCAATGTGGTGCGAATTAAATCGTTCAGCTGTAGCACCCTTCCGGTGCCTAGCTGCCATGCCACACGAAAGAGGCACGAGGGCTGGGATACTGCCAGGTTGCCCAAGCCTTGATAGGGGAAGTCGAGAGGCAGAAATCGGGTTCGAACCACGGGCCTTCCGGTCAGTAAATTCGCGTTCTAACCACTTGGTCCATCTCGCCCCTAAGAGGCAATTTCGAGTGTTTGAAGGAACTGAGCCTTTAAAGCTAATACTAAGGAGTTCAAAAGTGGCTTTGAAAAGATAACAACGAAAAGTTACACTTTTATTTTGAGTTCTGCATTTGAAACAGTTAGAGGCCAGAGGTCGGATATCATGGGACGATAAAGGTTTTTAGAACGAACAACATGCGCAAAATCTTGAGATTCTGAGATCGTATGATATGTTTTGAAGCTCTTGAAGCTCTACGTGCCAACAACGTTGGTACATGGGTTACAAGAAAAGGCATCGACAACCCGCTGTCCGCTCCTGGTCTATAGACGACGTCGTGGTTACGCCCCGCCAATTCGAATTCCCACCGTTCAATCTTTCCAATCTTTATTTTACTCTTTTGTTGGTTCCATATATAGAAACAAACCAACAATAATTCGTAATCAGTTTAAAATGTCTCCTAAGATGGTGGCGCCATTTGCGGGTCGCTTCGACGACAGCATATGCTTCTTTTTCGACAACAGAATGACTTCTCCCGCTTGCGGTCGGATAAACCATTCTGTGGCGTCAGAATGGTTTACCCCTGAATCTGAAGGGACGTGTGTATCAAGCTACAGTACGGGCTGTTTTGTTGTATGGCTGTGAGACTTGGCCTATTCGAGCAGCGGACCTGAGACGTCTTCAGGTGTTCGACAATCGTTGTCTCAGAACCATAGCTCGTGTGGGTTGG